TGCGACACTGAGGGTTGCGATCCGTTGCCGGACATGAAAAAAGACAAAAAAAAAAAAAGAATCTTCTCCATTCCCTCAAAATACCTTTTCCAGTTTTACTCTTACTGTGCCTTAGCTTTTGTTCTGATCTAGGGCATGGCCAGTTGGGAGAATGGACGTTTATCCTCTTGTCTCTTTAGAGTGATGCCTTGTCTTGAACAAGATATAAAGTAAAGAGGGACTCAAAGATTTTATGCAGTCCACTGTTTCTGTATGATTTCTCATGATGTAACTCCTTCCTGCAATCTAGAGAGCATGCAATGCTTTCATTAAAATGTCTTTTAGCTTAACGAGTATTTTTATGGTTTGACAGAAATGCTTTGGAGCAACAGACCTGGATTCAACAACCATTTTTCTATATGAGAATTCTTGTTTCCAGGTCTGATGAAGTTCAAGGGCATCTTGCAGGTGGTGCACTTGGAGACAGTGAGGGAAGCAGGGGTGAAGTGGCTGCTACCTGAGTACCTTCTGGAGCACCATTTTGCTTGGCCTCGCAGAAGGCTACCTTCCCAGATAGTGTAAGCACTGCAATTGCACACGGTACCTCAACTGATGGAGTCAGATTAGAAACGAGGCAGGAGGGATCATCCCTGTGCACTTAGGAGAAGCAGCACTGAGGCTGGTGGAGCATCTAGTTCCCCAACAGGATTACCCCTGAAGCCATAAATCCCAAATTCTTCTAAGCCTTACTCATAGGGCCTTCACCAGGACAGAGAGGAAGGAGCAGTCACTCTGGCACAGCAACAAAATTACTCAGATTAAATCTGAAAATGGTATAGGCCTGTTGCCCCTGAATTCTCTGGGCCTCTCCAACCCTGCTCCCATAATAAAACTGGTAGCAGAGTCTACCAAATAGCATTAGACAAAGGTTCTGTCCATGTAGGATCCACTGGAAGTTAGACTGGATCCATGAAGGTGTGCCCATGGGCAGCTGACTCAGCCCTGCCCTTTGCCTCCAATCCTTCCCTGAGCTCTGTCTCCCACTCTGGGTTCCAGTCCAGTCCCCTTGGCTCTTCATCCTTCTCCCTGCAAAGCTCTTGCTGAACATTCCCAAGCCAGGCGATTTATAATCTCATGTTCTCCAGATTTGGAATTTAGCAATCTGTCCATATTGGCCTTCATCAACCCTTCAAATAACTTAGTTTTTGACGCCTGATTCCTATTTCACTTGATCAGATCTTCTTTGCTTTTGCATATCTTTTTCCCCCTTTTTCAAATGGAAATGTTTGCCTACCAGCTATAACCTAGGTAGGTAACAAATAATGAAATGACCTAGATATTCTCCAAGTCCTTTTTTTTTTTTTTTCCTTTTTGTCTTTTTTCGTGACTGGTAACGGGATCGCAACCCTCGGTGTTGCGCCCGCACTGCGCTCAACCAGTGAGCAGACCAGTCTCTATATGGGATCCGAACCCTTGGCGGGAGCGCCGCTGTGCTCCCAAGCACCGCACTCTACCAAGTGCACCACCGGGCCGGCCCCCCCTTTTTTTTTAAATTTAGTTGGGATCTTAGTTTGAGAGAAGCTGTAAGGATACCCGGTCATGTGTAGAAGGGATACACTTGAGGTGACCATGATGTCAAAGAACAGAATGTAGAGGATGGCTCTGCTTAGCTTGTTTTTCTTATTTTTTCATCCTTGCAAAATCAGATTCACACAATTTTAGAAAGATTCTCACAGTTCAGCAGTGGTTGTAATAAACTCCAAATACCAGGGGACGCAAAGGGAGAGGGGAAAACATTTCCGTTTTTTTCCCATGTGGGTGTGGAAAATGTCGGTTGCGCTGAAAATAACACATGCCTATTTTTGTTGCCCCAGGCTGCCCTTTTCTTGGGTCTGGGGGTGTTGTTCTCTTTGGTCAGCATTCCCTTGGTCATCTATGACTGGGCCTGTTCATCGAGCAGTAACGAAGGCCACTGAGACCAGCCAAGAAGAGGAAACATTCTGGTCTGCTGCTCAGTCAAGTCACACTCATCAGCACCGCCCCCCCCCCATCACTTCCTTTGCAAGTTTACAGAAGCAAACAGAAACTTACAAGACACTTAAAATGGAATGACACTTTGGTTGCAAAACAGAGACCTGTCTCTGTAATGGTTCATGTTCTTTCAAGATTTGGGATCAATTTAGGGATTGTGGATTTTTTGTTCTTTTCAAATTTCACGCAATTGTATTTCCCAGTACTTTTCACAATCATTTTTCACTTTTTGTTTTGTGGCTTCACAGTCTCTTTGAACTTTGAAAACATGATCATCAGTCATGTTAATTTATTATACATCTGGATTCTGAAATAATTTTCCTACTGATGTTCAGCTCACATTATCTGTACCTTTTTAGATGAGAAAAGAATCTCGAATTGTATATATTTATTTTGCTTTACAGAAAAAAAATGGTTTCGTAAATAATTTGCTTATTTTGGTTAACAGAGCACATAGGGATAATCATACGAGTCATAGGGCAGATGCCGCTGCTGGATCAGAGCATGCCCAATATTTGAGGCAGCTCTGATCACCTGGCAGCCGAGCTTGGGCAATCCAGTGGCCCAGCTGGTACTACATCCCATTCCCGTGCAGAGACATTCTCTGGTGAGTGTTTTCAGCAGGGAAGGGGGTGGGGATGATTCTTACCTTGGTAAATGTATTAAACTGCATATTTTGGGTAATATAGCAAATGAAGTTTTATTTCCCTCTTGGCAACTTGTGTCAAAGTTACTCTAGTCTGAGTCAACTTCTGCTGGGGAGACCCATGGCACCTTCTGCGAAAAGATTGTCCAAAACACCTAAGAAAATATTTCTCTGATGCAGATAGCCTTCAACACAACACCTGTACTGTTGAAGGGGGGAAAGCATGTTATTAAATTCTAAGCCCAGCAGCTTTTACTCATGTCCACCAGCTTTTTGCACAGAGAATAATGTGTATCTAACCAAGGATGATCTAGGATAAGTAATTCCTGTTTTATATTGAGTACTTTATGGGACTCTTTAAAAGACTTGTTTTATATCTATACATTTAGGTTATTCCAAATACAAGATTTTTGTACCTTAAATAAGCCTCATTTCTGTTTCTTCTCCACTAACTCCATCCAGAGATAGTTTTTGTGATGAACCTCTGATGAAATCACAGTGTTACCTTCCTTCCCCCAGACGGGAGAGAGAAGGGGGCCTCAGTATCTGTGCCGCCTCCTCTTCTTTTCCCTAACCAGGGGGTGGGCCATTCTGCCCGTCCCTACGTGATCCACACAGAAGGACAGAGTCGCCTTGTACTCTCACTCCAGTCCCTCTGTTAAAAGGAGCAGAAGGAAACTACAAAGAGACTGAAAAAGAAGAGTTTGGGACAAAGTAGCTGGGAAAGGATTGGGGACACCAAGGAAACCCGGGACCACATTCCCCTAAGTTGGGCCATCGCCTGTGACTGGATTGTCCATATCTTACGGACAGTAAGAAATGTGAGTGCTCCGTGAGCTGGTCTCTTGAAACAGGACTTGTGTTTCATCTATATTCTGGTTGGATTTTTCAAATGCGTAAGTTCGCCGAGCAGAGATTTCTTATCCGAAGATAAGTAGAATCTAGCCACAGACTGCTGGCAGGGTTTCCAGGCACTTAGCTCTGTTCCTTCCTGACTCAAATCCCCAAAGGCCTTTATTCTCACCGAGAGTAACACGGAACTGTCCCCTCCCTTTACAGATTAATGTCCCATAGATAAGGCAGGTATTGAAGCACCTGCCATGATCCTCTTGGGGGAGAATAAAAGTTATTTCCTACATTGCATCATCATGGCTTTTAATATAATGCTACAGAATTACATTAGGTCTGAATGCAGGTATTTAGAAATGAAGACCTGACCTAGATATGAATACCTAACCTAGTAAAATCCATAGCCATCTCTGTCCTTCTCAGAAGTGTTTTCCATATTATACAAGCAATGATAGAAACTGAGCAAAACAAGATTCAGTCAGCCTTTGGGGGTTTGTCAAGAACACCAAGTAATAAAATAGCCAGGTAGTGGGGTGACCCCACATCAAAAAAAATGCACAATTTAGGTTGCAAGCTGTGTTATACTGCTTTCAATTTTCTTCATTACTTTATAACAATTTATTTTACATTTGCAAAATCAATTTAGAAAATCATCATTAACTCTGGGATGTGTAGTGATATTTTCTCTGGATTTTATTTGTCGGTACAAGAAATTTTTAAATTATTATTTAAAATATATTTATTCAGAGGAGGCAAATTGTTGATGTCTGTAATACCATATATTTTTAAAACCTTCTTTGTATGTTTATCTAAATTTGCTGTTGACTGAATATTATAGACCCTACTGTAATTTGTCAAATATCACTGATGAATTACATCATTTGTGTGGAAATAGCTGTAAAGTGTACTGCTTTTATTCTTGTTCAGAATAGTGAACTGGTAGGCAAAAACACGTGTCACAGATGTTAGGTAGAATATAAACAGCACAGTCAAGTGCTATAGAAGTTTTTCTGCTAAATTAGTAGACTAAAGAATACTATACCTTAGCCATGAGAGCAGCACGTTTTCCTTTGGTAGATAGGATCTCTGCACTAGTGAATAGTGCCGGATTCATACTTTGGATTTAGAACTGTTCTCTAGTTGTTGTAACACAGAGTACTGTAAATCCCTAATTAACTTAATGTTACTTATTAGAAGTAGGAGTAGTAAAACATGCACAGAAAGGAAATCTACTCTTTTTAGGCACTGGCAGTCCCCAGTTTAGAAGGAGATCATATTTCAAAACTATATAAATTGGTTGTTTGCAACCTGGAATGTATTTTCTTTTAGAAACCAGATTATACATGGTGGTTAGGCCCCCATGCCAGGTAGGAAAGATTATCAAATAGTTTAGCTGAAATAGAATAATGTAATAAGATTGATAAAGAATCTAACCACCAAATATAATATTGTTTCTAGGTGGTATTTGTTCAAAGTTGCCAAGAATACATATTGCCTGTTGTTAGTAGAATCTGGACTGTCCATCCCAGCCACATACCACATGCTGGACAGTGGGCCTAGGGTCACCAACCAGTCAGAGGTGACCAGAGTGACTTAAAGCAGGGTCTCCAGCAAAGATGGGGAGAAGTAAGTTTAGGGCCACCAGATAGCCTGGTGGTAGGAGGAGGCTGAAGGAGGGTGAAGAGGGCTTCTTGTGGGTTGTAGATTTCAGGGACACTCCTCAGCTGGTACCTTTTCTTCTCCCTGGAGGTCTCAGGCTTGGCCTGCCTGTTTCTATTCATATGGCTTTTTGCTCCTGTAGTTTGTCTCCTTCCCTGCCTGCTATGGAAAAGGCTGTTGCTGCATAGCTTGTCCCATATGCCAGTTGTTGAGGCCAGCACACAGTACTTGTCAGTGCTAGTGACAATGGTTTAATCAGATGGAGGTAAAGAAGCTCTTTACCCACTTTCCTCTTCTACATTTACAGACTCTGTTGAGAAAAGAAAGACATGCATGGGTGATGGTGGCAGGGCTGGGGAGGATGAAGGTCTGTGGTAAGATTCCTCAGCATTTCAGAGGACACCTCAGAGTTACCCCAGGACTGACTTCTTTCTGGAGTTGGACTCAAGCCTCTAAGGCAGTGGTTTTCAAAGTGTGGTCCCCAGACCAGCAGCATCAGCATCACCTGGGAACTTGTTAGAATCACAAATTCTCAGTTCCCACTCCAGACACAGTAAAACCAGAAACTCTCGGGGGGGGGGGGGGGCCCAGCAAAATTAGTTTCAGTGAGCCCTTCACTGAAAGCCACTCTAAGCCTTTTTCTCCCTACCTCAGAAGATGGCTCCTGGGACTTGTGAGGCAAAAAATGGGAACCAGGACTCTTAGGGAGGGGAGGAAAGAGCCTTGGCAGCAGGGAATTGTGCAGAAACAGAATCCTGTGCTGCCACCCAGTTGTCCCCTCTCCCACTGGAGATACTGAAAGAGGGCTGCCTGTGCTTGGGGGTTTCCTTGGGTTGAGGCATGATCATATTACATTTTTTAAAGCTGTGAAGACATGAAAGTGAGGCTTTTTCTTTTTTCTCTCCTTTCTTTCTTTTCTTTTTTCCTTGAGGGAAATTAAAAGAAAATACTCTTTGTAAATGCCACCATAGAGGAAATACTAAATTCATATCAGAAGTTCACCAGAGCGTTTGTGTTCATCATGTGGAGATCATTCCTGTCCTCCTTTCACCTTTCAAAATGAATTGTCTACTGAAAGGTCTGTTCTGCTTAAGGAGTACAGACTGCTCCAAAAAGAACCCAGAGTTCGGTTCCATTTCAGTGGGGCATAATGTTGGACAGCACATTTAGGAGACGTTAGTTGGAGTGGGGAGGAGGTTGGTGATAGGATCAGATATTTGATTTTATGCCTTAGAGCAAAACTTTGTCTCCCTCAGTTTATCAGGTTAAATAGCTTGAGGCTTAGAAAGGACATAAGCTTTAAGAATACAATTCCCCCATTCAAGTTCACAGTAAACATCTAGCCACTTTCAAAACAGAGAAGATACAGACTATATGATTTAGCAATACTAATAAATGGTTTTCCTTAAGGATGGCAGATCTAAGAATCCTTTAGCAACAGGACATACTTCATAAAAAATACAGTGAATTCTTTATGCTATTAAGCTTTCAGGTACAAATTAGGGGTGGGGTGGCTAACAACTAAATCTAAAAGGGAATTGTTTCTCCATAATGCTTTTTCAGTGTTAACATTGATACCAGTATTTACGAAAACAGAGTTTGGGGAGGAGAATGTTCTATTCACAATTGAAGGGATGTGTTTTCCAAAGTCTGGTATCTCTGAGGGGAGAAAAACCTGAATGTTAACTATGAGCACAAAGTTGAAGGAAAGAAAACAAAGAACCACTATTTTATCCTGCTTTTGAAAGTCTTGCATGTTTGCCTTTTATTTTAGCATTGACATCAACCTGGACTCTCTTTCATAACTTTCCCCCAATCACTGGAATCTTAATCATTGATACGTAATCCACTCTCTGGAGTCCAGTGTATTTTGGATGTCATCTGAGTCCAGTATATGTAGCACACCACTGTTATTCATGTAAAAACCTTGTAAATGAATTTCAGATGGGTGATTTCAGTGAATCACAAGTCACAAAACTGCTATTCATAGTTAATCAAATAGAGTTGGGTTTTTTTTAAGGATGTGGTGTAAATAAAGAAATGTAAGAAGTTCTGTTCTATAACTGCTCTGTTAACATAGTTTTTAACATTAAAAATAAGAACTGAAATTATTTACAAATCTTGCGTTCGTTCTTTTGGGATGCAATACTAGAGTGGGGCAGCTGAATACCATACACATGATTCAGTATCGCTGGAGAAAGATTTGTACACATTTGTTGGTGGTCTAGATCATGGAAAGTCATATTTGAGCTCCCAAACTTAAAAAAAAAAAGAAAAGAAAGCATACTCCTGATAGAAATCTGTCTAGTCTGAATGAAGCATATTATATGCTTCTCCATTCTTCATAATCTGAGTAGGTTGAACATAATGTTAGGTTCATTTTTATGAGTTCAATTTCTGTCCTGTGTTGTAGGAGGGACTCTAGTCTTCCTCTACCTATATTGCAGCCACCGTTAAAATAGGAAATTCTGTCAACACTTCCACTTCCCCAGGAACTATTGGAGGGAAACTGCTGCAGCCTTGCTTTTTCTTTATCCATCACCTACTCCTCCCCATGATCTTAGGAAATTTTTATCAGACGAGCAAGATGGCCAGGATCTGATATCCAAATTCTCCTTGTGGACAGGGTTAGCTCAGAAATAGCCTTGGCCTTGGTGTGATGAGGCGGAAGGCCCGCCTTGATTCTCCTAGACTGGCGTGGTGACAACAGCCCATTCTGCAGGGCCACATTGACACACATGTGGATCTCAAGGTAGAAACTTGCGTGGTGACAACAGCCCATTCTGCAGGGCCACATTGACACACATGTGGATCTCAAGGTAGAAACTTGGGCACAGAAGTCCAAGCCACGTACTCCAATTTAGCTTCATTAAGAATGAAGTTGATATTTTTGTCCTTACATGCCTCCTGTGTCTAATTCTTAATTGATCAAAACCCCAAGGACAAAGGGTATGAGTGAGTAATTAACACTTTCAAACCCAAGCAATGGTAAAAGTTCATACATTCAAAAAGGCAATTGAGAATATGAGCAGATTTATCAAAAGGACTGGTCCTGCCGTGCTTTTGATAGTTCTTTCTGCAATCACCCCATCAGTGTCTGCCAATACCCTTCCATTCTGTCCTATTTTGCACATAATTGTCAAGTAAAGGTTATTCTCTGCCTCCCCTATGGAATAAACAGTGGGTTTAGTAATATCTTTGCAATTCAGAGGCCCTGTTTGCTTACCTTCTAGATCTATAATTGTGTTCTGCCTGGTTAGGATAGTTTGGAAAACATGAAGTCCCAAATAATCGGGCCAATTTTTATAAACCATTTTTTTTTATCTTACATTAGTTTAAATTTTAGACTAATCCAAATTGTTAGGACAATTTCCTTTTCTTCAGAGGGTCAATACAACATCAAAATAACCTGCCAAATTATCAAAACGTATTATAAAGCTATAGCAATTAAAACAGATTTGTACTGGTGTGGAAATAAAATAGATCATAATAGGGAACCCATAAATGGCCCAAATAATACCCAGAAAGGTAACCAGATACCGAAAATGTCAAATTGTTTCTCCATAATGCTTTTTCAGTGTTAACATTGATACCAGTATTTACGAAAACAGAGTTTGGGGAGGAGAATGTTCTATTCACAATTGAAGGGATGTGTTTTCCAAAGTCTGGTATCTCTGAGGGGAGAAAAACCTGAATGTTAACTATGAGCACAAAGTTGAAGGAAAGAAAACAAAGAACCACTATTTTATCCTGCTTTTGAAAGTCTTGCATGTTTGCCTTTTATTTTAGCATTGACATCAACCTGGACTCTCTTTCATAACTTTCCCCCAATCACTGGAATCTTAATCATTGATACGTAATCCACTCTCTGGAGTCCCAAAAAAAAAAAAAAGGCAAAATTCATATAGAAACAGATAACCCAGAAGGACACCTAATATTCTATCAAAAGCACGACTGGTAATCATTTTTGCTCTTTTCAGAGTCCTTCCAATTTTTTTTAACAACTTCCCCTTTTGTAGCCATAAAAATCTCAAAGTTATTCTTGGTCATAAAAAAGACTGGTCTCATTAGGTTTGGTCTGATTATTTTTCATAGGTGAAGTAAGAGTGTTCATTAACTATATAGTCTTCCTTGAGTTTGCTCAGCAAATCTAGAGCTATGCAGTACTGAACAGCTACTGGAGCCACAGAATTGCACTTTCAGAAGTCTCTATTATTTGCTAGCTCCAGAGTAGGAAAGCAAGCCCCCAAAATTCCACCATATTACACCTGTACTATCTGTAAATACGAGTGAATTCCTCTGTACTTGAGTTTGCTCAGCAAATCTAGAGCTATGCAGTACTGAACAGCTACTGGAGCCACAGAATTGCACTTTCAGAAGTCTCTATTATTTGCTAGCTCAAGAGTAGGAAAGCAAGCCCAAAAAATTCCACCATATTACACCTGTACTATCTGTAAATACGAGTGAATTCCTCTGTACTTGAGTTTCCAAAAATTTGCTAAAGTTCCTAGCCTGCCAGGAAGTGCCCTTTTTTGTTGTTGTTTTCTTTACCACCTTTAAATTGAGACTCTATAGGCCAGTTTTGGCACTAGGCTATCGGTTACAAACCTATCAGGTTGGTACTAGGCCAGTGTTCCTGGGAGGGTTTTGTAGGCATTGGCTCCATACATAAAACCAACCTTTGGTCCTTAGAGTTGTTTGACATATCTGATAAAAGACCACCATTCTCAAATATGACATTCCAAGTAAGGCCAATCGGTTACGCAATCAATTGGTTACACGATCAACTTTGTCCAATTATATTCTGGGAAAGGAAGAGGTTTTCATTGAAACTGATACCAGAGGAGAGGGTCTGAAGAGGCCCAATGGCCGAGCTCAACCTACCCCATCCTCTACCAGGTTGTTGCCTCTGCTACAGGAAAAAATTCAAGAGAAGAGCAACAGCAGGAAATGAAAACAGGTTTAACGTAAGGAATAAGAAATACAGACTTCGCAGGGAAAGTGCAGCCTAGCTCCAGAGACAACACAGCGGCCACAGCAAGTTTAAAACAAAAGTAAGAAATGCACCCTTTACAGACTGTGCAGACTGGTTCCAGAGTGAACAGCAGCCTGCCAAAGACAAGTTAAACACAAAAAGTGAGAAACACACACCTCACAGGCAAAGTGCGGGTGGCTCCAGAGAGAGTGAGCAGCAGCCCCCCTTCTTCCCGTATTTTTATAGTTGGCTGTCTATACATATTCATGCTATCTAATGAATATCCAACTAAGGGAGTGGTTCCCAGTTGTGTAACATAGCCTTGCACATGCTCTGTTGGTCTCCTTGGAGCATGCTCTTTGTTCAAATTCCATCACAAGCACCAAATACCCTTAGAATATGCTAGGAGCTCTCTAGCACCTCCAGTGGAAGGTCATTCGTAGGATAAACTCCTTTCTACTGAGCGTGTTCAGCCACCAAGATTACACACACAGTCTGCCTTCATGGTCTCAATCTCCACATGCTTGTACCAAAAATAGGTGCAACAAGCAGCAGTAGTTAGGGCACTCAGAGGAGAGGCTTGAGTCCTAGGGGAGTGCTTTGAGACTGAGGGGAGTGGCCCGAAACCTGAACCCAGGGAGACTGAGCACCTCCTATCTCAAACCTCTGCAAATAATTACATTACTGTGAAAAAGTAAGGGGACTCAGTTTTTAAATTCAGGGGCAGGGGAGAGTCCAGTGAGAAGGAGAAAAAATTGTTTAATTTCACTTTACAAAAGCAGAGTCTACTCAATTGTTGTAGATTAAAGATAGCTTAAGAAGAAAGAGAAATGGCTTCCTTATATATATGTAGAAAATAGAACATTAAAACAGCATCGCCACAACCACAGTAAAATTTTCCTCACGAGTTCGTTCTGTCCTTTATAATTTTGTTCTGCTGAACCTTGGATTAGCATTCTGCTTTCACAAAGCTGTCTGCTTCTGGATTAAAAAGAATCCTATACACTCACCCCGAAGGTACAGCCTGAAAGTTGTCTAATATCAACTGAGAAGCTCGTGCCCAAGAGTCTCTTCTATGAAGTTTTGATAGTTTAAAGTGCTTGGCATAGTCCTTTTCCATGAGACTTTGGGGCTTTCTTTGCTAAAGAACCCGCTTTTAGCCTATAGTTAATAGCAAGCAAAGCCTTGGGCAAGTTTCAGGAAGCAGAAACCTATTTGATAATGAGACTGAAAGGCTGTAGTTAATCTACTACAGTGACTAATGGTTACCCATTCTATCATAGGCATCCATTATATCATAGGTATCCTTTCAGATAACCTCGAAGGGTGATGCAATACTGCACTGGAACATCACCTGGTAATCTTTTTTGCCCATTTCAAAGTCTTTCACAATCTTTTTGTACTATCTGTATATCTATATCTCATATATACACACCTTGAAGTGGGGATGGCCTTTCTTGGTGCAAAACACAGGAACAACTTAG